TATTGGATATCCAATAAGATAGGGGCTCCAACGGATATCTCATATCCGAACCTCTACTCATCGCAACACCTACCATATGTGTGTGATCTTCTAGGCCAATATTGAGCTAGCTATGAGTCATACTTGTTGGAACTCCTTCTAGCTCAATGAATTGTTATCTTCATAATAATTCACTCGACTCATCGACTACGGACGTACTAGGCCACTACGCCGTAGTCCCCAAACGATACAGAGGAATCCAATCCATTGGACCTATCTATCTACAGTTACCATGTATCTATAGTTTTTCATCCATCTAATACCCCAAAGATTATATACCGGGTATAGTACTATTAGGCCCATATAATTTCTACTCGAGTCTCGCTCTAATCGGATTCTCCCGGAGAACTCTTTCTCTTTGAATCTAAATGACCCTAGCCAAGGATTTATCTGAGTAATAACATATGAGATATTCTTCTCATGACACCAAGAGTGGATGATCCTCTATCGATACTCAATAGCCCTCATAAGATTGGTTGCCACTCTTCATGACTAGCTGTGCTAGATTTGGAACTTCCAGGCCTATAAGTCCGGTATCAAAGAGTAGAATACCTATACATGACATCCTTGGTGTCTCAAGTTTAAGGACCAAATACACCACTGGGATGATGAATTCACCATCTAAGAAGAAGGTATCATCAACCATCCAACATTTTGTGAGCGAATTAACCAATGAACTCATTCTCCAATGAGCACATACACTATATCCCTAGTGTCCTCACATGAGCGGTTATAAGACCAGCTACCTTCATCATATGGATAAGTATATAGTATACTAGTTTATCCGATTTTCTCGATGTCCCTCTCGAGTAACCTATGACCAGAATTATTTAGGGTCTGTGCTTAAAGGCAAATCGATCTCATTATCATGATCTCATCACGATTTGATTCCCATTACATAGATCCATGGACATCACAATATATTCATGCAACAAACAATATAAAGTGATCAAATGTCAAATAATATAATAAACAAAAAGAGTGCATGTCATGTCATACGTGTCATCACTCAAGTGATTGGCTTGCAAGGTACTTATGACTAACAGGATCTCTACCCAATAATCTCTCATCGGCTCTTATTGGATCTTATCCACAAGATTCAATAATTCAGGGGCTTGTTGGAAATCCAATAATATAGGGGGCTCTAATGGATATCCCATATCCGAACATCTACTCATCGTAACACCTACTATATGTGTATGACCCTCTAGGCCCATATTGAGCTGGTTGTGAGCCATACTTATCAGAACTCCTTCTGGCTTAATGAATTATTATCTCTATAATAATTCACTCAACTCATCGACTGCGGACGTACTAGGCCACTACGCCATAGTGCCTAGACAATATAGAGGAATCCAATTAATTAGACTTGTATATCCTTAGTTACTATGTATCTATAGTCCCTCATCTATCTAATATCCTAGAGACCATATTCTAGGCATAGTACTATCAGACCCATACGGTTTCTACTCAAGTCTCACTTTAATTGGATTCTCCTAAAGAACTCTCTCTGAATCCAAATAACCCTGACCAATGATTTGCCTGAGCAAGAATACATGAGATATTCCTCTCATGACACCGAGGGAGGATAATCCTCTATCAGCACTCAATAGCCCTTGTAAGGTTGGCTATCACTCCCAATGACCACTCATATAGGACATCTTTGATGTCTCAAGTCTAAGGACCAAATACACCAATGGGACGATAGAATCGCTATTTGACAATAAGGTATCATCAACCATTCAGCATTACATGAGCGAATCAATCAATGAATTCATTCTCTAATGAGCATTTGCATTGTATCTCTAATGTCCTCACATAAGCAATTTTGAGACTAATCGCCTTCATCATATGAACGAGTATATATCACACCAGTCTATCTAGTTATCTCGATATCCCTCTTGAATAACATATAACTAGAATTATTTATGGTTTATGTTTAAAAATGAATCGGTATCATTATTGTGATCTTATCACGATTTGATTCTCATTGCACATATCCATGAATATCACAATATATGTAAAGGGTAATATAAAGTGAGAAAAATATTAATTAATAATAATAAGCAAAAAGAGTGCATAGCGTACGTATCACACGTGATTGACTTATAGGACACTTATGACTAGTAAGGATTTGTCTAGGGCTACTACTATCTTTGTATGATCTTAAGCCTTTGATATCTTTAAGGAGACTATGACTTGGATGCTATGAAGGGGCCTGCACAGTCCTCCTTATTTAATAGATGAAAGGATAGTGTCCTAAGAGACTCTTTTTCTCTAGGGAGTCTTCTCTTATCATTGTCCCTTAGTTCTCCCACTTAATTGGTTGTGTAAAAAAATTTTTTGAATCTAAAAATTTTTATGTTTACGAGGAAATAGAAGTTCTCATAAAACTTATTCTTAGACCAACTAATAAGAGGGATAACTAAAGGGTACCGACCTAGAGAAGAGAGAGTCCTAATTTAGTTAGGGCTCCATCCCTACAAGCACCAGGAAGAGGGAGTCCTAACCTAACTAGGACTCCATCCCTCCATCTATAAAAGAAAGGGGCGTGTGACCCCTTCAGCTCATCGAATTCAAAATAAGAGCCTTCTGAAATCCCAGTTAGCCCTAGAAAATATCCAGAGAGGAAGAAATCAACAGACTTCTTCTTCTTCTTGCTGGTGGCAATCAACAACAATGGCTCTCCTTCGAGAAGCAATCAACAATAGTCCTTCACAAAAGCCCAACTTTTCCTTCTTCGACCGTGAGTCTTAACACTTTGTTCCCCAACATGGTAACAGTTCCAGTCGATGGCAACCTCTAAAAGAGAGGTTGATGGCTGAGATGAGGGGAGGAGACAAAAAGAGAGATCGACATCAAGTTGTTAACTCGAACAATCCGCATTTATTTATCAACTATAGTCGGAGCCTTTGTTGCTGGAGAAGTCTTTGCTTAGTTTCTTGTTTTAGGTATTTCTATTTCAATTCAATTCAAATCGGATCGTTTTTCTCTTTTGACTCAGTCTTTTATAAAAAAAGATGTAATTTTTCTATGAAAATATAAATCAGCTTGGAGGGAGGTTTGACATTGTTTAATCCTTCTTCCGATCGGGGGTATAATTGAAACATTCATGAGTTAAGTCATCCTGCCTACGCCGTTAAAGAATAACCATGATCACAGTATCGCAACTTGTATAATTCTAGCAATAGCTTCTCTTATATTTTTGAAATTGTTGGTCAAGAGATTGGACTTTAAATTTGAATAACAATATTTAGATAAGAAAATTCTATTTATATATATATTATACATATTATAAGATTTATTTTTATTTTAAATGCATATTAAATAAATATATATATATATAATATAATATAATTTTTATTTTTATTATATAATATTAGACATGAGATAATAAAAGCAGAAAAAAATAGAATGATGGTTAAAAAATAGCTAAAAAGAACATGGCCAAATAAGAAAGAGAGTGATGCCTCGAGAACAAATAAATAATAAAGCAACCAAAAAGAAAAAAGAGAACATTAACGAGGAAAAAAAAAACAATAACTATGCATCAATGGCCAAAAGTCCATGAAAGAATTATGACGTAGGCAAAGGAAAATTATCCTACCTTGGACCACAGTAGGCACACGTTTTAGACAAGTGTTGAGTCAAGAGCTCAGAGATTTAGACAATTAAAATTATATATGAATTTTCTCTTTGTTATATAATTAATTTTTAAAGTTCGATGTTTAAAAGATAGAGATCTTCAATTAGCTGACAAAAATTACATCCGCAGCACATGATGTGAGATTATGAAAGAAGAAAAATAATAAGTACAATAGAAATGAGGTAAAAAAGAAAGAATAGAGATGATAAACAAATAAATGATGAAAAGCGAGAGAAGGGTGATAACAGAAGATATTAATGAGAAACAACAAAAATGAGTTGGCCAACAAACATGAGAAAGAGGATAATTAGAAAGAAGGATGGGATAATAAATTTAAAGGAGATTATTATTTATAACCCTTACTTTACTATTTATAATTTTATTATGTAAATTTTTAATATTTTTAAATTATCATTTTATAAATATACCTATTCTTCTCCTTCTCCTTCTCCTTCTTTTTCCCCCTTCTTCACTTCATTCTCTTTTTTTTTTCTTTCTCCACGGAGTATGACGTCCACGACGAGTAATACCGACGATGACAACGAGGGTTGATGATAATGACAACCAATAAGAGATTAAGATTATAATTAATAAAATAAATAATATTAAAAATATTAGAATTATAATTAATAAAATAATATTTTAAAAGAGATTATTAATAGTAAAAGAAGCTATAAATAGTGAGCTAACTATCTGATTCCTTTTAGAAAAGACTAAAATGTCTTCGTAAAATAAAAATAAAAGTATTTATATTTAATAATATTATGACCAATATGGATAAAAAATAATTTTATTAATGAACTTTATAGTAGGTAACAGTTTAATTTTCAATTTTTCTGATAAAAGCAAAAATCCATGAAAAAAATTATGACCTTCGAACTTTTCCTGCCGAGCACCACAAAAGCCACCGCTGCGATAAACATAACTGAATCGGTATCGTCCAAACTGTACACGTCCAAACAACGGTCTCGATCGACAGCTGCGTCATGTTCGTACTGAAGTTGCGTCGAGGAATGGTGAGGTTAGTCTCATCTTAGCCTTACACGCGTCCCTGTACAGAAATCTCAACCGCAGCCCACCAGATTCGGTCTTTCCTCCCCTTCCAGTCCCCAAAGCGTGGTCAAAGATAAGGGATACCATGTGTGGGACGCCACGCCGACGCGGCTTGGTGACTGCCACTGAACAGCCAATAGAAAAGACGTGCTCACAAAGAACTGCATGTTTTTACGTGTCTTATTTCTATTGGTTGTTAAAGTATTTCGTGCTTTAGACAACTAACTAGATGTGTTCGAGCCGGTTGGCCCGGGTACGAGGCAAAGTTCCGAGACCAACCTTTGGTTCGGAACCGCGGCGAAGCGGTGGAACGAGCCCAATTCTTGTGAGGCGGTGAGAGCGTTGCTCTCTCCGTCAAAAGATCGAGCCGTGTCCATCATCGACTTCCAATTCTCAGCTCCTGACCATCTCCTCCGATCGCGGAGAGCTCGAATCACGGAAAACAGCCACCCAGAATTGGGTTGGTTCGAAGTAGGTTCTGAGCTGTGTCCGTGGTGAATAATCGGATTTTGGGTTTGTTATCTTGTTTTTTCTCTGTAGGTGGAGGAGATCGTGGCTTATGGATTCGGTAATTGGGTGTGTGGTTTATGTTCGAGGTCTAGATCCATAATGTGGGCCGAGATCTGATTGTTTATTGTCTCTTGCTGGTCTTAGGGTTTTCTTTGTTGATTTGATTTGGTCAAGGGATCAGTTCTGTGAGAGTAGTGGAGCAGCGTTCTTGTTGTGGCGGATTCGAGCGGAATATGGCACAGAGCAGTTGGGAAGCTGATAAGATGTGCGTACATTGCAATAACGATGTACGTTCTTAGTTTTTGTGGAGTCGTCGTGTTCTGGTCTAACTGCGGCTTTTGTTTGGATTTCTTCTCGTTCTTTTGTAGGCTCGATGTCTATATATACGATTATTTGCTGAAGAGGAATCTGCAAACCACCGCTAAAGCTTTCATGGCTGAAGGAAAGGTTTCTGCTGATCCAGTAGGTAATAAATTTAATATTTATTAGTGCCATTTTTTCATTCTCTGTCTGATACATCTTATTTCTTATATTTGCTGATTTCATTCTGGATAAACATTTTAACCTCTTTTGTCATTTTAACTGGAGTTAGTTTTGCATTACTGTGATAACAATTCAATGACGTCTAATCAAGAACAGGAAGCCTAAGATGGGTTAGAAAGAATTTAGATGTCCCCTTGTCAAATTCTTTATTCATATGCTTCTTTACACAACGGGGGAAATAACGAGACTTACAATCACTTGACACTGATAGCTTGGAAATAGTAGTTGAAGTGCACCATTAATTTGCTTCGTCAGAGCTACAAAACTCAAGTAAATGGGGTATGGATTGTAAATGACAGAGACAATCTCCTTTTTTTTTTTTCTCTTTTATTGCCACTTCTTATTATTTTTCTTATATTTATCTTTCTTTTGAAGGGAACCTATGTGACTATGATGTTTAAATTAGTCAATATGCTTGTCAATGTATTTATCTCTGTGTTTATTATATTTGCAAAACTCTCTTTCTTTGTGTCCAATTACTAAAATAATTTCATCTAATGTCATCTGCTCTTTGCACGTTTATAGATGACTTGGCTTCTTTTTCTGTCTAAAATCATTTTGGAAGTGAGTTTTCTTTAATTTTGATGAAATAAGATCAACTCATGGAAACTAGCTACCAATGATTTAATCTTGTGAGAAATAAATTTGTTTTTGACTTTATTAGAATAGTGTCAACTTATAAAAAATTGTTATTATTTTGAGAATTGTGTTGCCCTTGACACCAAGGTTGCTCCTTTGCAACCTAGGTTATCATTGTTTAAAACCAAGGTTCGCCATACCGAGGTGTATCGCTCAATACGGGCAGTACGTACTGGTCTGACAGGGGACTGGAATGGGTGGTACATTGGTACACCCCACTGTACCGTGTGTCGATACACTCGGAATGGCTTGGTATGACTCAGTACGTACCGTACCCACAGCTTATCGGGACATTGGTATGGATCGGTAATGCAAACCACGTTTAAAACATCAAAGCATAGGAATGAGCTCTTTGTTCGTAAGGGTAAGGCTATGTGCATAAATCTTCCCTGGGTTTGCATTCGTGGAGCCTTTTGCGCTAGTCCACCCTTAACTAGAACTTATTATGTGCTTTGAGACATGTTAAAGCAAAGTTTTCATTATAGTTGTATAAAAGTTTGGCTTCATTTGACAGCGATTGATGCTCCTAGAGGATTTCTGTTTGAATGGTGGTCTGTCTTTTGGGATATCTTCATTGCAAGAACAAATGAAAAGCATTCTGAAGTTGCAGCAGCATATATAGAGGTGAAATTTTACAGAATCTTTTTTCTCATATTTATCTTTTATATCTCCCTCCTTTATAAGCAATCATTCCTACTAGAACTTTTCTTGTCTTATAGGTTCAACAAATAAAAGCAAGGGAACATCAACAACAGTTACAGATGCAACAGCTACAACTGATACAACAGCGACATGCTCAGTTGCAGCGAAATAATCGTAATTTGTCTCCTGCAAGTGCTGTAAATCCTGATGGTATTTTGGGGCCTTCGACTGCTAGTGTCTTGGCTGCTAAGATGTATGAAGAACGTTTGAAGAATCCACACTCAATGGATTCTGAAACATCCTCACAGCTTCTTGATCCGAGTGGGATGGCCCTTCTTAAGTCAACAACCAGTAACCCAGGGTAAAATCTGTTTTTTTTTGTTAAGCACTGACACTGCACCTGCTTAATGTCGTTTTAAGTTGTTTTGTTCATTTGCTTTTCCACTTTTGCAGGCAGTTAGTCCATGGTAACTCAGGGAGTATTTCTGCAACATTGCAGCAAATGCAAGCTCGAAATCAACAAACAACTGTAACTAAGTGGACTCATTTGATATTTCTTGTTTATTTAGATATCTTGCTTATTATAGTCTTGAGAGTCTCTTTTATTTTATTGTGTTACCGCTGTGATAGGACATTAAGACAGAAGGTAATTTGGGTGTGCCTCAAAGATCTTTGCCCATGGACCCATCCTCAGTATATGGACAGGGCATTGTACCATCACGGTCTGGATTAGGTGTTGCTGGTAAGTAAACACCAGGACTTCTTATAGCTAATGCTTCTGTTGCAGCGTGGCTTCTGTTTAATTTCAAAATTAGATTAGGGCAAAGTTGAAAAGTTCTTGCATTAACACAAACTCATTGTTGCAATAATAAATTTTAGCCAAGGAAAGAGAAAATAAAGTCCTTCAGTCTATGGCTTTGAGTAAAAAGGAGAATAAGAAGAGAATAAGGGATCAGAACTTCAATAGGAAGAAAACAGAAGGAAAGACAGGCATAAGCTGAGAAAAAAAGAAGAAGAGAGAGATAGGCAGCAAAGCAAATAAGGGCCTGTAGCCCAATAAAAAATATTTTTCTTCTATTTTATAGTAACAAAAGGTAATCTCAATCTAGCAAGAGTTGCGATGAAATTCTTTTATTTCAGTATTGAGTCATTTAATTAGAACACTTGAAAAAGAAAAAAATTGTCTAAGCATACATATAATTACTATCCATTATGTAGCTAGCCAAACATGCTTCTCTTGAAGAGTATGATTTTGGCTAGATTAACTTAATTAATATTTATGACTTAACCAACATAGACATCTGCCTATACTAGAATAGGTGCAGGCAAATCTGGACATTTTAAAACTACAAATTAGAATAACAGAAAATTAGAAATAACCTAACCCTGGACTATATAGGACTTAGCTTCTACCTGAATTACATTAAAACTTGATTAGATTAACTAAAAGTTAAACCTTTATGAAGCACCTATGAGGATTGGCTATGAAAAACACTTTGAATTATTTTCCATACTCAAATCATATTTATGGATATATATGCTGTGATACTTGGATACTTCTCGACTCCTTGTTGAATACTTTGAGGTTCTACATATAAGATATTTAGGGATCCTTGATATATAGTTCTTTGGAACACAAAATTTTGAAGTAATTGTTTTTTTCTCTATATTTTTGAAGTGTAATGATTCTAAAAGTTAATTTTTTTGATGATGAAAAGGTTTTCATGTATCTTTTACCGTCATTAAGATATGTAAAGAGCTGTAGCACTATGTTGTTATTTTATGTAAGTTGTTAAATCAAGAGCATTTGAATACATTTTTATTATTTCTATTAAGATGTTTCTATGTATCTCTCAACATCTTCTTGATTACATAAAATCTATTGTCCTACTTGATTCATATCATCTAATCGTAACATCTATAAGTCTATGTGAATATGTTCATACTATCTTAAATGATTCTTCTTTTGTCATTTTACATCTAGTTGTTCATGGCTGAACACATTTTCTTATTCTATTTTTAGTAATTCTACACCCCTATCTCAAAATTCATATCTTAGATGCATTATTTATTTTGTACATAGTTTTTGAAACCATCCAATATTTGAAGGAAGAGGAGGTAATGGAGAAAGGAAGGAAGAAGAGGAGACAATGGAGAAAGAGGAAGAGGAAGGAAGAAGAGGAGGCAGTAGAGAAAGAATAGGAGGGAAGAGGAAGAGAAAGGAAAAAGAGGAAGCGATAAAGGAAGAGGAAGCATACTTAAGATCACAAAAGGACAACAAGGTCAGCAACGAAAACAAGAATTAGGGAGGTAGGAAGCAGCCTATGGTAGTGAGAACGGAGGTTTCATGAAGGTGGATGACAAGAGGGTTTGTAGGGAAGATGGCTCGTGATTGCGAGCCCTAATTTCAACCTTTTAATTTTTTGTAATTATATCGGATCGGACCGCCCCTATGTATAGGTTCACGCTTGGACCGGTACGTAATGCCCAATACATACAACTCTTGCCAAAATGGAGTTCTATGAGGATATCTTTTATTGATTGTATCTATGACATGTCATGTCTAGTATTTTTGTAAATTCTTACATACCAATCCAAGCGAAATGGAGTTCCATGAGAATAACTTTTATTGGTTATATATGTTCTATATCATATATAGTTTTTACAAGAATTTCAAGACAAGTGTATTAGTGTTCTATCATATCAATAACCAATATTTGTATCTATGCTTCAGAGAGGATTGGATATACTTTGGCTACGGTTATTTGTTTCTATGCTTCAGCGAGGATTGGATATACTTTGGCTATGCTAGAAGTTGTTGACAAGGACTGATTTGTGCCACATCTTTGTGTTGTAGCAACTCCTTTGTTTTAATATTTGAAAATCGAGAGATTGTTATCCTTAGTTTTTGATTCTATGTTGGACATAATTTTCATATATTTTGATCTTATCTTATAATCACATTCTTTACTTTAAAATGCAAAAATATACATATCAAGGCAACGATTGACTTTTGTGTTGATCGATCGTGCCGATCGACCGATGGCACGGCACGTATCGCTCCGTATCGACTTACTGTGTTGGTGCACTGGAGCATACCGATAATCCCAATTAAATCCCAGAAAAGCTCAAAAATATCTGAAAATTAAAAAAAAAACATAAATTAAGGTTTTTAATTGGAACTAAATGCAAATTTAGTATAATTTCATTAAACAATATCTAAACAAGTAAGGGATAGCAGATTTATCTTTTCTGGATATTGAGGAGTAGCTTTGCCACATGTTCTGAACTGTTCTTCCATTGATATTGAATTATCAACAAAGATATAATTTAAGTTATTATATTATGTGTCGAAAATTTAAGATTCAAATGAATCAAGTAATAAATGAATTGATTAATCGATATATTTGGCTCTACCACCAAAACGAACAGCGAGACTCCACAGTCCGTGGATTGAGGTCATCGATCCTATATATTTGTATTTTGATATAGTATATTTGTTGGACCTAATCATGATATTGCTCTCCTAACATGTATACTAATAGACCAAATGTCATTGGTGTATTAATGTGGTGATGGTGATTGCCTGATCATCCTGAACCACATATGTTGGAGGTGGCTCCTGAGACAAGTATAATTATGACATGTATTTGTGTGGAGAAAGAGAAAGGAAGAGGAGGCGATGGAGGAGGAGGAAGGAAGAAGAGGAAGCAGTGGAGTGGAGGAAGAGGAGGAAGAAGAGGAAGAGGAGAAGAAGAGGAGCAGGAAGCGTACCCAAACTTGACAGCGGAAATGGGCAGCGGTAGGCAGCTTACAAATGTATGGTAAGGGCTTGTGAACGCAAGCCCTAGACACGGGTTATATGGTTTTTTTATAGGTCAGACTGGACCACCTGAAATAGGGGTGGTTCGGGCTTGAACCAGTAAAAGTACCAACCAGTATGAGCTGAACTGGGCAAAACAGTAAACACTGTTTTTTCCCAGTTCTTTTTTTATTTTAACTTTTATGAGATTCAGTGACTGAATGAGTAACTGAACACTATTTGTTCCTCCACAAGCTTAAGCATAGGCAGTCCTGAATATCAAATTCAATGAAGATGATGTTGATAACACTGATGATGATGATGTTTTGTACTATTGTACATATTCTTGCTTATTCTAGAGACATGTTTATAGAGGTTCAGGCTAGTTCTCTGAGGATGAGGGTGAGGATGAGGGTAATGACAATGGTATTATCAATATCTTTTCATTTATTTACTAGGCATGTCTTATAGTATTAGCTATAATCCTATGGACTTGTGTAGCGTTATGTGAAAAAAAAAAAAAAAAAAAAAAATATATATATATATATATATATATATATATATATATATATATATAT